AGGAAATTAATGTTTGAAATTCACGTGAGGAAGAAAATTTTGATCAAACTGTACCATATATTCTGTACACTGGAGTCAAATGTAAGGAAGTATATTTACAAAACCATTCACAAGATTTTTCCAGGTATTTCAAATTACAGAGCTAAAGATATTACCATCACAGTCTCAGTGGAAATTTGCTGCTTTCTATCAGAGACCAAGAACCACATAAGGGCAAAACCAGAAAGGATGCAAGATCTTTCTGTTACTTCACGAACAGCAAAACTGAATCCCGAAACTGAGTTTATATAATACCTTAATCTGACAAAAGAAAAAAAAACAACCAACCAGACAACTTTAAATGTGGAGGTTACCACATAAACCCTTCTTTTCCTCCAGAATGTAAATATTAACATTCATTCTTTCCTCAAATTTATATCTTCAAAGAAGACTACATCATTGTTGATTTTCAAACATATAGAAATAGTCACGGAATACAGCACACAAATTTTCACAGTGACAGTCAAATTCTAATCATTATTTTGACTGATAAAAATATCTAATGTCTGTACAATGCAAATTTGCCCACTATACAATCTCTTGCACCGAAAACCATACCAAGTATTTTTCAGTACCAGTGCACTACCTTATGCATCATAAACTATGGAACAGAATCGGTTCTCTCAACAGATCTGTATCTCCACCAGGGCTTCTGGTGGCTATATCGGGTACATACTACAATTTTTTTCTCCTCCTGTGCTGTCATGATTATGCCAGCAAAATACAGTTGGATGTACCAGTCTTAAAATTTCAAAGCACAGAACAGATATTAATTCATGTCTACAACACTAAGAAGCAAGTAGGTATTTTACATACCGGGAAATCAAAGAAAGGTGAAGTGCTTTGTCTAAAGGCACTTGGAAGAAACAAGTAACAAAGCCATAATTAAAATTCAACATCAAGCTTCATGTTAATCCTCTAGACCTAACTGCCTTTTTCAAAGTGCATGATTTGGAACATCAAAAATAAGAATCAATTCAGTCACTTTTCTCAATACATGCTTTAATGATAAAATAAAACACCGCATTCAGCTTCTTCCTCTGTATTGGCACGAACAGTCATCCTTCTTAGGAATCAAATTCATGAAATCATTTTGGATTAAAAAAAACACCAACATTAAAAAGGAAGCCAAGTCACAGATAAAATTTAAATTCCACATTTGATTTAGCTTCTACCTCTGCATACTGACGGACTCACAGGAAAACACACATACGTGCCAGGTATGCCAGTATACCAATTTGCACTAGACTGATTTAATTAGTTTGCTTTCAATGCAAAGGTGCAGCACCTCAGCAATTATGAGACCGTTAATACAATGGGAGCATAACAGCACCTTCAGAGATCTTCGTCTAACCTCTAGGCACACATATAACTCCCATTAAGGCTAATGGGAGTCACATGTGTGCATCCAAGGGAGAAGAGACCCATTAAAACTGATACAACATATCCATTAATCTTCAGGTCACTCTTAAGGTCAAACATTATAAAAATGTTTATGAATAGTACTTACTAGGTATGCACAGTGGCTACTTTGGTTTTAGGACAGACCTGTGAGCAGTTAAGGCCATGGAAAATGTCTGCTTTAAAAGCATCAAAAGCATCACCATGTTTCAAGTAGTGGCATGGAAATTTGAGAGTGCTTTTCCGTAGTCAGAGAGGACATTCCTCTATCATCTCCTGAAAGAATTAGAAGGATAGATATGACAGGGCAGGTTAGACATGAATGAAAACCTTGGACAAAGGTATGCTCTAGCTTTTCATTTTTCTTCCATCCTCAACTTTCTTCACATTTGAGTCTCTTAGTTATGGTTTTCTGCTTCAGGAAGAACATTTAACTGCAGTGACTAAATTCCTGATCTGTGCAGTCTGCTACAAAGACACTAGAAATAAGATTTTGATTACTGAATCACCAGCAAACCACAACAATTCAAGCACTGCTTGCAGGGAGGAAGGGGTGGTTTTAGTTTTTAAAAGAGAAAGGTAACCTTAGTTTGCTACCCATTTCATTCTGTGTGTCTGAAAACTCCCTTTTTCACTACTGTAGTATAGTTTAAGCAAGCATGCTCTTTTCCAGCTTAGAAAAAGCTAAGGCTATCGTCTGTAAAACTGATCTGATCAGCAATGAATTTGCTGTCTTGATCCACACTGAGTCCTGGAGAAGAGAGATTTCTTAGCAGCATGGGGGCCAGATGATCTCCATATGAACAGAGCAGAAGGAACAGTGGGAGGAAATGTGAGTGTCAGATGAGTACAGAAATGAGGACAAACTTCAGATATTAACTACCCCTATTTGTTTATTGTTTCTTTCGGGAACTGGAGTGAATGAGCAAAGTTGGCTTCATCAAGGGTTACTCATGAACTATTCTGAAACTCGTCTTCCGGAACTCATGTCAGAACTCTTTATTCTGCACGAGACTTGTTCAGCACTCTCCAATTACGCTTCCTGTTACAGGCTCTGTTGGTATTCCAAGCATTGACAACTTAGCACTGCAAGCTTTTGTTCAGAGACCTCATGTGACAGACATAGATGGTCAGCTGCATCTGGAGTGTCAGGTCAAAGCACAGGTAAGAGGCTGGAGAACAACCTCTCACCTAGAAAGCATGGCCCCCAGAGACAGTGACAACATCAGCCCCACTGAGAAATAGCACATTGCTTCAGTCTTGAGTTGCAGGTCTTCTATTGCCTTTCTCTGGTATGGCCATGTCAGACAGACTCTCACTTCACAAGATTTTAAAATGCTGCCATAGCTTTTTACAGTGCCCTGCACAAGGAATTGTTTTTCTTTATTTCTAGTTCAAATATTCAATGATAAATAAATGATAACAAACAGAAGATTAATTCAATGATTCAATTAAACAAATTACTCCTCAGAAGAAATAAATGATTGCCTTTTTTTTTTTTTTTTTTCCAAAAACCTTGGTGTATGCAGTAGACAATATAAACATTTGGGGGTGATTTTTTTCCTTTATTAGTAGTCATAAGCCTTCTACTACAATGTCTTTCTGTGAAACAAATGAGCTGTCCTAGCTCAAAAGATAAAGTTACCTCATTTTGCTTAAAATGTAGTTTTCATATAAAAAGATCTAAACCCCATTTTGTGAAATCAGCCATGTGAATTAGACTTATTCACTTCAAACAGTTCTTCTGAAAGAGGAATTACTCATTGTAACAAAGTTAGGCATCTGTTTTGAAGATGCTTTACCATTGTAAAAAATGACATGTAAATAAATATTCAACCAAACTGTTCTTTCAAGCTCATAATATTCATGGAGGGCTGTATCCTGTTTTGTGACACCACAAGTAGTCCAGAGTGCTACCCAATTTCTTGGCTGTGAATTACACAAAAATGATATATAATCTATCAACACATGCCCATGGAATACCCCCACAGCCTCCTTAGCACAGATAACCTCAGCAAGGTATCTGAAGAACTGGTGATGCAGGATGTTTTTCTGAGTACAACGGTGTTGCTGTTTCTTTGCTCGATTGTTTGCTGATCAGTGGTGGATGGGAGGTTCTGTATGTTGCAAAATGTGTGAGAAATTGCTTTTGGATAGCCTTGCAGTTTCTGGGCCATCCCGGATGAACCCCCACTGAAGAAGATAAAGACTTTAACCTTTTTAGGTAACTTAGTTTAGAAGTATCCATGTGAATTATGTCAAAATGTAAGCATAGATAATAGAAGCACTAATGAGCATTCTTTAAGATAAGATGTATCAAACATGCAGAAGATCACACTACGCAGAATCATCTGAGAAGAGTCAAGTAATGGATAAATGAGGAAGACTATGGAAGACCACCAGAGGACTCCTGAAGACCACCAGAGACCTTCAATGCGCCTGCGTAAAAGACATTTGCATATGCTAATAGCTTCCCTGGAAAACTAATGAATATATATAACATTTCTCAGAAATCTAGTGAATATGTATGTAGGACATGTACTTAACCTGCACAATTAGGCCCGACGGCGTGCACGAAAGCGGAGCGATCCCCTGTACACCCAGCGCTACAATAAAGAATGCCTGCTTTCTAAAACTCCAAAATCGAGTCCTAGAGTTTCTTCGACCGGCTTTTTCGGTATCACTGGGAGCCTTGATGTCACCTGTGAATCTGTATTCATGAGTACACCAAAATTAAATATAGTTACTGTTTGGAAATAAATAAATCACTATTTGAATATCTTTTAATTTTTATGTTTAATAAACAATGTAGATTCCTCACAAGCTGTTCAGCCACATTTTAGAGTTCCCTTTAATTTTCTTTCTAGAATCGTAGTAATCAACTTTCCAATGCAGTTTTCCCCACCTAAGCATGTAATACATTCAAATAACACCTTCTCAGTCACCTAAAGCACTCTGGGACCCGTGAGGGAGGACCTGGCTGTCACGAACGCCCGCAACCAACCGATCAACCATGCATCAAACAGCGCTGGAGTAAAGCTGCTTCAGAAATACCTGCCTGCAGCACCCACAGGCTCTTGCCACATTTCCTCCCTCGTCTGCTCAGTTTCTCCTCTCACAGCCCTACGAATCCTGTCAGTAAACGCTACATAAGCCCCTCGCCTCCCGCGGGCCGCGGCTGCACCCCAGGCTGCCCTCGACTCCAAGCTGCTCGGCCTCGCCACCGCCGCACCACCCTCGGTGACCATCCCGCCCCGAATCGAGTCGGGAGCCCTTCCACCGCCACACGGGCGCCAAGGCCGAGCAGAAGCCGCTGCTGGCGCTTGCCGAGCTGAAGACGGCGACACCGCAGCTCCGTTTCCACCGGGACGCTCGACCGCTCGCAGGGCCCAGGATGCACGCGCTGCCCGGCGGCCTCCGCTCGGCCTCAGCCCGCTCCCCCACACGCGGCCCGGCAACCGCCCCGCCTCCTGCCTCTACCATTGGCTCCTCATCCTCACCCCGAGCCACTGATTTGCTCTGCGGCACGTCAGTCAAGTAGCCCCGCGGTTCACCCTGGCACGGGTGCCGTCCCGGCAGCCCTTCTAGCGCGTCCTCTCGATCTCCCAGAGTACTTCCTGCAGAGCCACTCTAGGCGGTTACCTCCGGTGACTGTGGTTTGTGCCGCAGCCGCTCTAGGCAGCAGGAGCCGGCTCTATGACCTGGCGGGGCCTGCCGGTGGGACGGTGCCCGGGGGCGACAGCCGGGTGGCGGAGGGGAGAGTCCCCGGGGCGGCCCGAGGAGGCTCCGTCCGCCCAGGCCTTCATTAGGAGGCTCGAGGCAGAGCCCGCCGCGCCCGTAGCCCTGCGGAGGCCCGGCGGCGGCGCAGGTCAGTCGGGGCGGGACGGGACGGGACGCGGCGCGGTGCTGCCGGCCTTCCCGG